ATTTAGGCCCCATAGTTTACCTTATTTGGAATAATTAGTATACCTCTGGGATAATCTTAGCAGATGAGTTGAAAAGCTCAAACACTAGGTACATATGATCATATAAGTTGATGCTAAATGAAATCACCCCCAAGACATGTACACAAGAGGTCTGTCTTTGTTGTTGTTGTTTTAAATGTACTTTTTTTGGTTTATTTCCTTTGCATGTTCTTTCCCCTATGATATATCCCCTGTTGTCTCTGTACTTGATTTTGGTAGTTTGCATTTTGTGTATACATTTGTCTAATCTGGGGAGAGGAAGGTGAATAACAAAATGGAAAAAAAAAGGACACAGGATGACCCATTGCAACAATGAGATCCACAGGATGTTATATTGGAAATGAACTTTACAACTTCAGTCAGGGAGGTGGGTGTGTGAGAAGGAATGTGCGAGGTGGGAGGTGGGGGAGGGATAGTGGGACAATATCAAGGGAAGGGGTAACAATGATCATGATCGACAACCAAGGTGCTCATTGCCTTATTCATGTAATTGTAACCCCTCTGTACAGCATCTTTACAATACCATTTTTTTTAAAAGAAAATTCAAAAAAAAGAAAAATAACTATAAACTCTACAATTTCTAGTAAAGATGCCATAATAATGAATATCTAATATTTAGGAAAGAGGTTATTTTTGCATTTAAAAATTACATATAACATACTAATTTACATTGTGGTCATATGCAAATGTGTTTTGTAATACTTGTTTGTGGCTAATTAACTGCTCAGATACTGATATCTTCTACAAACAGTACTGATATTATTCTGTCAGTTCAGAACAAAACAAATACTGTCCATAACTGGGACTAGAAATACCATGTACATGTTTCTGGTCAAAATTTAACCAGTCTGACCTTGAATTTTTGATGCTCTTCTCTCAGCCTCCTGTGTGCTGGGATTACACGAGTGAATCATACCATCCCAGCTACACATTTATTTCCATAATCCTCATTGAGATCTTTGTGGTAGCATCTATTCATTTATTTGAAGCTATGTCTCAAAATTTTGGCATTTTGTTAAAAGTCTTTCAGATCTGCCAGGGCTGACATTGAGTGAGATCCTTAGATCTCAGGCTTTTAAGTAGTTAGTATTATAGGTGTGAGCTACTACTGTCTGGCTCTTTTATCTTTTAATATTTCTTCTTCCAAATTTCCAATAAATAGTTTTCAAGTGCTTTGTGAAAAAGAGATAAAAAGATATAAAGAAACAGGAGGAAAGGAAAGAAGACTGGAGGGAAGGAGAGGGGAGAGGTGGAGAGGGAGAAAAAGAAGGAAGAAAAAGAAAAGAAGGGGAGAAAGGAAGGAGAGAGGAGGGATGAGAGGGAGAAAGGTAGAAAGAGAACAAGTGAAGAAGGAAGGAAGGAAGGAAGGAAGGAAGGAAGGAAGGAAGGAAGGAAGGAAGGAAGGAAGGAAGGAAGGAAGGAAGGAAGGAAGAAAGGAAGGAAGGAAGGAAGGAAAGGAAGGAGGGAGGGAGGGAAGAGGAAAGGGTAGAATATCAGAAGTCCTGAGATCCCAATGGTATAACTGGGAAATAGTGTGTTAGCAACCCCAAACCTTATTTCCTGCTATGTCTCTCTGATGGGGCTATAAATGCACACTCTTCCTCACCAGTGCTCTTTTTAGCTCATGTTTTGGAAGGCAATGAATCATACACAGGAGTCTGTTAAGTTTTTCTGGGAAAAGATTGGCACTGTAGATGCCAGAGACAGAAGAAGCTGCACTGCCACTTCCCCCTTCTTCCTCCTCTGCCTGAAATAGAAATGTGGTGTTTGGATTGGGGACACCACCTTGTGACTCTGTTAGGAAAAGTCTGTGAACATGCTTAGCATAACTCTGTTGAAGCTTTTGAGCTCAGAAGTTCTACTAACCCCCTGAGGATTTAACTATTTTTTGGTTAGAAAAAAAAAATTCAGTGTTTGTCTGGTTCTCATTGGGGTTCTGTATATTGCAGCTAAAATATTAACTTTTAAGTCTGGAAGTGTGGGGGATTTTTGTTTTTTGTTTTTTTGGCTTTTAATTTTTTTTTTTTTTGGAGGTGCTAAGATTTGAACTCAGGGCTTCATACTTGTCAAAACAATTCAGTCATGCCCCCAGAACTCTGTGTTTGTGAGTTTTTTTCAGGCAGGTTACTGTGTTTTTGATTGGATAAGCCTAGACCATGATCTTACTATGTATGCTTCCCTTGGGATGCTCAGGCATCTGGGACTTTTTAGCTTATGGAATTGTGTACAGTAAATTTCCTTTGTGTTATAATTATTTTGTTGTAACATCACAAAGAGACTCCATCTCTTTCATAACAGTCAGTATCTGAAAAAAGATGTAAGATTCAGTGTTGTAGTTGTGTTTTCTGATGGGGATGATGGAGATGATGTTTCAAAATGACTTAGGAAGCCATTTACTTACAGTGTGTGATATTTTTCATGCATGCATATTTCTTTAATTTACTTTTCAACATTCATGTCCCTATTTTCCTATCACATGATTTTGACAGTTTTACTCAATGATATTGAAGTTTGTGTTTCAAAACATACTCATTGCTTGTTTTGAGTTGCTATCATGATAAACTGCTGGGAACTTTCCTTACTTTTAATTCACTTAACCATTCTTAACAGACTGTTTGAAGCCCTTTTCCCTTAAAATCTTGGTTTTCTTGATTGACACCTTTAATTTTCTTTTTTCCTCTCTCTTCTGCTTTATATTCATAGACCACTCTAGAGAATTATGTAAATCTAATTTTAAATTAGCCTAATTCCTCAACTTCAATTGAGAATGGGAGGAATTGTCTTGTGAGAGGGTAAACATTTGTTAGAATAATTTTGATAATGGGTAAATCTAAGTGTGCTGTATTCTCAATGCATTCCCAAGGTAGTCATCACTTCTTTGTAGTTCTATGCAGATTTGAACTACTTATCCCCTACCTTTACTGATTTCACTGTAAATCCCAAGAGAATTTGACTTGGCAGGCACTTAGATTTTTAAGGGAAGAAAGTCCAAAACACACTTAAAGAATGGTTTTAGCAACTTAAATACTTAAGAATGAGAATTACATATTCAACTTAAATAAACTGGGTGCTGGTGCTTATGCCAGTAATCCTAGCTACTGAGGTAGCTGAAATCTGAGAATCAAAGTTCAAAGGCAGTCCAGATAGAAACGTCCATAAAACTCTTATCTCCAATTCCCCAGCAAAAAGACAGAAGTAGATGTGTGGCTTATATGGTAATGTGTCAACCTTGAACAAAAAAAAATAAAAATAGAAGTGTGGCCCTGAGTTCAAGATTCAGTACCAACACACACACACACACACACACACACACACACACACACACACACCCCTAAATAAACAAATTTATTTTTTATTTTTAATGGGGAATAAAATAACTACATGAAGCCATTCCTTTAATCTCATATTAATTGAAGATAGTAGATGAGGGAGGAGATAATAGCAGTATTAGAACATATGGCAATCCAAGAGATGTTTTATACATTGCATTCTCACACTAAATTTATGAGCTAGGTACTGTATTTCCAACTTAGTGCTTTTGAAAACAGAGATCCAGGAAGGTCAAGTAGTTTGTCTAAAATGATTTAGCAATGAAATAAGTAGGCCAAGCTCTGAACCTTGGTATCCTGTTTCCCCAACCTACAGTGTCCCTCTCTTATCTTCCTATCTCATTTTCATCGAGGTTAATGAAACGTGAATGTATACTAAGGGAACAGAGACTGGTGATTACTTCCATAACATTTTAAAATATGATTTTTTACTGGCCTCACTGTATTTTGGTGCTTAACATTTAATATACAAATTAAGAAGACATTATCTTTATATATTTCATAATGCAACACTTTCAGAGCTATCCATCAAACCAGTTGGAAGTCATGGCTGGGAATTCCCAGAGCATGCTGATAACAGTGCTAAATTTCTTTTCATTAGTTCCATTCATTAGCTTCAATAACTGAATATATTAACTAAACCTCACATATATATTAGTCTCATAACTTATTAATGTTTAGTATAAAATTCAACTGTCACCTTTTTAAGTACATGACTTGATTGCTGAATCACATAAAACTGCTATTAAGGATTTAAATACCAAGTGGGACTTTTGAATTTTGTTCTCCTGATTTCTTTTTACCCATTCTTATAAACAAAGGAATATAATTTCCAAATGGTAAAGCATTTAAGTGTAATTTAATAGTGTGTAACAAAAGAAATTTTTTATAATAATTTCTCAAGAGTGTTAGATTACAAATTCTCCTTTTCAGGCTCATGATAGAATAGTAGTCTAGACTCTGAGCACACACACACACACACACACACACACACACACACACACACACAAATAAATATAAGTAAGTTGGTTATAACTCAATCAATTCATAAAACCTACTAGATCTCTAAAGTCTGCCTTCCTCCCTTTTTAGACAAGTTTTGAAAGTAGAGACTCACGGAAGACAAGTAACTTGCTCCAGATTACATAACACTTAAATGACTGAGCCAAGATCTGAACTTTAATATTGTTTCCCAAAACCCATGGTCTCTCTTTTCTAAATAGTTTATATTTAGAACAAGTTACAACACAGAAAAGTACTGAAGCAAGGTTTAGGGAAGTCCTTGCCTGGAGTGATTCCCCTCGGTGTTTTTGTCTGCTTCCTGAGGTCTGGGCAGCTGAGTACCAGTGCATAGATGCAGGAAGCTTACTTGGTCTACCACAGAGCCAGACCCCCAGAGAGTGGCTGCTAGTAAAGAAGTCAGACCACAGAAGTAGCAAAACCCAGTGTCAATAAAGATGCCTAAAGCAAAAGAAAGAATATTGATTTAAAGAATGTTATCCTTGCTCATTTGAAAAATACAGTAATTTTGCAAAAGACAAAGTAAGATACTTCGTATGAAGTGCAGTGGGACCCACGCGTCTTAGCAGAGTGAGGGTTGAGGCGAGGCGGAAGGATAAAGGAGGTGCATACCTTGGCTTGTCCAGCTTTAGTTATGGCAGGCATGTTGAAGATCTGTCCAGTATAAAAGTGCACCCCACTAAACATGATCACTGCGATGGAATCTCCTTCCTTCTCAATGACTTCAAGGATATCCTCCATTCTTAAGAGATCTTCCCCCTAAATCATGTTAGATAAAATTACACACACACAGCCATAAAAAGTTCATTGCTTTATATCTACCAATCTAAATTTCACTAACATAAGAAGTATGGTTAAAAAAAAATTCTCTCCTTCACTAATGTTCTTCAGAAATTCAATAAGGGATGAACGTGTTTTACGTATTCAGAAATTATAATAAAATAGTAAAAAAATGTTTTAAGTGTAACTCTCCATCTGTGCTAATTTGCCCTCTATTTTTTTCAATTAGTCTGCATGTATAGCTCTACATTACTTTGTCATTATCCCCATCTATTAAAATACCAAGAGATGGAAGGAGTTAACACATATGCAACAAGACCGTCTGGTATCAGTATCATACTGTGTTATTATGTTTCCAAAATCACTTATATACCTCTCATCCGACTATTTACCTAAACAATATGTCTGTTAATTTCATAATAACATCTCCAAGCTACCCTAAATATATAGATTCATATTTAAAGAAAATGATCAAAATATCTCACTAGTGTTATTAACACCCTCCCCACTCTCCCCAACTAGTGAATACTGTGAATACTGTGAATGAACTTAGATTTGACTTCGCAAACAACTGGAGATGAAATATCTACATGAAATACAAAACATCTTCTTGTGGCCTAACAATTCTGACCTACTAACAAAATTTTTATGAATTTTCTCCAGCACTAAATTTGATAAGATTAGGAAAAAATACAATACTAATAGCTTTATGAGGCTGGTGAGGCTCAATATTCCTACATCCTCCAGTTTACTTTTAATATAACTTTCATAATTCTTGCTAATTGTCAATTACTCTGCTCCATGTTAGAGGTGCTTTTGTGTGTGTACACATACACTCACACACACATATTTTATGTGCTATGTTATTACAAGAATCCCAAGACTTGTTTTTACAATGAGAAGAGAATTAATAGTAGAATTTCTGAATTGTTCTTTGAACTGGGCTTGTACACCCATGATGAGAATGATTTCACTAATTTTAAGAAAAAAAATTAAAAATGTAAAACTTGGTGATTCAAAACTTTATTCTTAAGCATCCTCATAAGGTTTGCCCCACAATTTAAAAAAGAAAGACTAACAATATTTGATAGGACATAGACTCTATTCACACTGACTTACTGCCACTTAGATAATGCTTAACTTGAGATTATGAAGACTTAATGCTAAAGTCTCAAGGTTATGGCAAACATAAAATATTAAAATATTGATACTTATATTAACATCAATGGTCATATTCATACGTTAGGAATTAGTAATTTGTTAAGAATATGTGAACATACTCAACTAATTTATGTCAGGTTGGGAAATAAAAATAGAGCAGGTTTTAAATTTATTTAAAGCAATTTGGCATAGTGAGAAAAATTCTTTGAACATTGTCTTAACAGCCAGGGAGTATTCTATGAAAACCTTGAAATTTATACTTTCATGGTTTCCTTGGTGCCAAATTGTACAAGTTGCAGTGTTGATATGGCTATGTCTATATACCTTAGTCTTGTATCCTGGGTAAAATACACAATATTTTAGAGTTTTTTTCTTTTTCTTTTATTGTCAAGGTGATGTACAGAGGATTGTGATTACATAAATAAGGTAATAAGTACATTTCTTGTCAGACTTGCTACCCCTTCCCTCACTTTTCACCTACATTCCCTCCCACCACCCCCCCACACAAGTAGTGCAGATAAATTTCCAACAAATTGTCTTGTATATATCACCGTTGCATTGGTTCCCCCTTGCCCTTTGTCTCATCATCTTGTTGTTTCCCTTCACTTCCCTAATTCAAATAAACATACATGCAATACCAGAGTACCAAAATCAAATACAGTGAAAATAGGGGATGTACCATAGAGGGAAGAACATCCAAAAGAAACAAAAAAATCACATAGTACATTAAAAATAACAACAACAAAGAAAAACCTTCAAAACATGTTTAAGTTGTATTAGCTGTATCCTTTGTTATCTGGTTAAATATTAATAAATCTAAGACAGATAAAATAACTTTGCTGAAATCATATACCCAAAGAACTGGAGGACTTAGAATGCCACGGTGTATATTAGCCATGCTGTAAAGTCTGAAGCGAAACTTCCTTACTTTTTCCACTTCAATTTAGCACAATGGAAAATATTTGGTTCATGAATTACAGTCATCATTTAATTTCAACAAATTATCACCTGTCTTAACTTGATTTTAGTGACACCAAAAGTAAATTACATTTGAAGCTTAAAAATTGATATAACCTATTTGTCACTCTCTTTCCCTATCTCTAAAGATTTTGGCTTACTCCAATGGTATAAGTAAGAAAATAGTTTGCTTGCCATATGTCTAGTTCTTGAAAGATAAAATAAGTACACTTCTGAGTTAGTCTCTATTTTAAACAAAATTATCTAATAGTAATAGAAATATGCTTTCTTAATGCTTCCATGAAAGTTCCATTAAAGTAATGAAAATAATCAACTTTTGAGGAAACAGAGGGAAAAATCAATATTAATAGAAGTATAATAAATATTTCTTTCTTTCTCATATACCTGTCTTGGCTTTATTATTCGCATACTTTTCTCAACATTAAGTCCATGAAGTTGAAGTTGTGACTCAATAATATACTGGAAAAAAAGGACAATTTATTTATTAAATAAAGCTGCAAGCATGCTAGTACTCTGAAATAACTCTGAAAACAAAATATGAATCAAATATGTATTATGTTGTTAAATCCAAAGTCAGAGATGGTGAATGAAGAGAATATATCAAATAACTACTAATTATAAAATTTAACAGAAAACTTAACATTCATTGAAATAGTACTGATTAGAGGTAAATAGAAATGTAGAGGTCATAGAAATATTTAGCAATTAGAAGAGATTTTTGTATTAGCAGTCACCAACTAAAGTCAAACCTACAATTAACAAAATAGGGATAGAAGTCATATGGATCTTCTAGGCCTAAACACAGGAATTAAAAGTGTTTACCCTAGTAATAATAAATTAGTAAAGGGAAAGGTATTAAAGAGTTTGCTACATTAAGAATATAACATATGCATGGGAACAAGCAGTTAAAAGGATTTTTTCCCTTGTTATTTATGTTCTAGTCCTTCTTACAAGTTAATGGCTACTAATTTGGACAGGATTACATGTCCTACAAATACAAGAAGTGAATCGGAATAGTTAATAATAATACAAAGGTAGAAATCAAGTTTCTCTAACTTTAAAACATTAAAATGTTCTATCATCTATGTGTATATAGGTCAAATTTCTTTCTTTTTTTTTTTTTTTTTAATTTTTTTTTTTTGGGTCCGGTCGTGGGGCCTGAACTCTAGGCCTGGGCGCTGTCCCTTAGCTCTTCAGCTCAAGGCTAGCACTCTACCACTTGAGCCACAGCGCCACTTCGGCTTTTTTTTTTTTTTTTCTTTTTGCTTATGTGGTTCTGAGGAATCGAACCCAGGGCCTCAGGCTTGCAAGGCAAGCGCTCTACCACTGAGCCACCTTCCCAGCCCTATAGGTCAAATTTCTTAACTCAAATGTGGATAAGATAGCATGAATTTTTAGTGAACCACAAGAACCATTTTTAATCCATATAAAAAATTTTATGATAAAAAGTACAAAAACTATGCTAGGATGTTATGGAAAGAGAACTAAATAAAAGCTTACATTTCAATTTTATATAGCTAAAGGGTTAAGCACTGATATTTGTATTCATTGGATTCCATAAAAATAAAACAGCAATGAGAATTAATAAAACATCTATAACCACACTTGATTTAGGACAGCAGTTTGCTCAGTGTCTTTAAAAAGACTAATAAATCAATGTTCCTATTCAATCCTTCCCTCCCTTAACACATGTTTTACTTGAACAAAAGAAATAAATCAACAATCTATAAAAAAATGCTTAAATCAAAAGCATTTGACAGATCTTTTTATTGTGAGGTTACTTGGAGAAGACTAGTGAATAAACATTCAAGTCAGGCAAATGATATTCCCCGCTAAGGAAGAGTAAACAGAACATAAATACAAAGTGAAGAAATTCTTACATGATCAGAAGGGAAGGCCTTTGCTTCTAGAAGAATTTTATACCGTTTTGATGTGGGTTTAAAAAACGATAGCTGCAATGAAATGGATTTATTGAAAAAGCATTAATGTACAATTTATACATTTGTTCACTTTATACCACACTTTCATTTTACAATCTCCAACATTTTAAAGGAACTAATTAATTAAACATCTTAAGGTATCTGACTGGGATAGCTTTTCAATTAGCCTTGTTTCCAGTGTGTTACAAAGGAGGAGAAGATACTGGCTCATTATGTTTATCAATGGAAAAACAAACTCAGGGAAAAACGGTGAATCAGATAAAAGCAAATTCTCTAAGTTTATTTAAATGTTAATTGAAAAATTATCTTCTCAAACATTGAATGGTAATTTCTCTAGTGTGATACTGAAATTTCCTGTCGTATGTATATCTTATTCACACTGACTTATCTTGTACTACAAATTTAGATTTTATTGTACATATTTTTCACTATATTTTTAATGGCCTTTTAGTTTATACTTAGCAAGAAATACCTCATCCTTAACATTATTTTTTTTCCATCTTGGGGGCATAATTAAGAAATACTACCATTAAACAAAGGGTCAATTTCTCCACTTAGTTGCTGGGAAATGAGTTCAATTACCTTAACAGTGAGAAGGGTAGTAGCTACTGTTAACCAGGTGTTGATTATAAATTCAGTTGCTGAATTAATTCTCACATATTATCACACTTAATTCTCACACAGATATGTAAGGTAAGTATGAATAAAAAATATAGACTTAAAGATGGTGAAAAGATTATCTTGCATCAAATAGATAGTAAGTAACAGAGCTGGGAGCCAAAGTTTGAGATATCTGAACTTGTAGGCTATTTCCAAAACATACTATAAAAATGAAATTAAAAACCTTCAAAGTATCAAACAATTGCTATAGACATAATATTGAGACTGCATTTGACACTTAAGTAAAACAATAGAATAGTTAGGATGCAAGAAATGCTTCAAAAAATCATTTAAAGGACTAATTAAGGAGTTAGATCCTTCTCCATGTAGGGCACATGGGCAGCAAAGATGGCGCTGAGAGGGAGTAGAGTGGTCAGAGCCCAATTTGCTTTTAAGTTCTGTGCTTAACCAGCCCCTGGAAGCTTAGGTGCATGATAGGGTGTGACCTTGACAGTGATTGGTTCCTCTTCCTCCCCTGCCATGCCAGCGCTCCTTTTTTGCTTTATAAAGGGCTGCTCTGTGTTAATAAACGAGTTTCTTCCTGCTTGACTTGACTCCCCGCTGAGTCTGATTGTCTCCCGGGCTGAGGGAGGCTGGGGAACAGGCCAGCGCACACTTACCTTTCCTTGGTCCGTCTTTGTCTTTCGTGGGACAGACGAAGACCCAACATCTCCAGTTTAATTTTATTTTCCAAATTTTTAAACCTATTCCCCAAACCCTCATTCACCAAAGTATACTGATCCATAACCCCACCATGCTCAAGTCCAACATACTGGAAATCGGCTGAAATGAGCTGTTCAGTCCTTTGTATATCGCTGTCTGATGCGCTTGCCAGCAGGTTCTCTTTTCACTCACTTTGACTTTTTTTTCTTAAGTTCTAAGATAAGAGCTTTTCATTATTCAAAAGCTCCTTGCAAGGGTCAGCTCTTCCATGATTATGAAGAAACCATTATATCATGGCCTAGCATTTCCTGGTAAAAATGAACACAAGCTCACAACTTATTTTTAAATAGCATCGGATGCTTATGAATTAAAGATAGGAAAACATCAGAGTGTGTGGATGAGTTTATTCTAAACATTGATGGTAAAAGACACTTACCATTAGGAGATGTAAATTAACACTCAAACCATTCATTAGGACTATTTCCTTTTCGTTGGCTCCTGTAAAATTAAAAAAAGTTGTAATTTAGATTTCCCTATGAGTTATAAATACACCTGGATAAACAAGTTAGAGAGACTATCCTTGATCATTTAGAGTAGTTTTGAAGATAAAAGCATGTTTGATGTGTCATCATATAAAAGTAGAAGTTTCCTACTTGATTCATTTTCCAAATGATATCTGAACTCACATACACACAGCTAGCGAAAAACTATGCTTCCTTTCTGATGCTATACATAATAAAACAAAAATAATGAGGCATTTTATTTGTCTGTAAACTAAAAATGCTGATACCCTATTATTAAAATTCCCAAAGAGTCACTTTTGTTGAAAATGGATCTTGCAAAGTAATCTAAAAGAGATATTAAGGACAATCACATTTTTATAAAACTGCTTGTTTCTAACATCAAATGAAATGAACCTTTAATAAAATAAAGTTACTTTGTCAAACATATGCCTCTGTTATTACAATGAAATAGATATATAGTAGTTAACAAGTAAAAGGAGCTTCATAGCAGATTATAACAGAATGAATAGCTCTGGAGTTTTTTTATAAACATTAAGATACAAATATGTATTCTCTGGTAAAAAATGCAAAATTAAGATACATATTATATAATTTTAACCTTATCTAATTCCATTAGCTAGGTTTGCACAGGAAAAATAGACAGACATAGAACCCATTGTTTATTCAGAACATAGTACCAATAAGTATACAATTCTTATTTTCAATTCTTATGTTGTCTTTTAAAGGCAATTAGACCTGTGCATTAGGAACGATATCTCTTCAACAACACTGAAACATATGAGGTATGTTTCTTTTTGTTTACAATGATGTACTAGATGTTAAAATCTATATTGCGAGTCCTATATTTTGTTTCCAAAGAAATACTTCTGGCATAGTCCCATTTTAAAAGAATAAGTAGTAAATGAAATAATAAATCTAATAGATTTCATGATATATTCACCTTAGGGAAGGTCACTGGAAATGTGTTTAATTTTCCAATTCATATTTTTAACATTGTCATTTAAGGAAGAGTTTGTATTTGACTTAAATCAAGGAAAGCTTTGTAACTGTTCTGTAGATTTCTTTTTGATGTAGGAGCTTGATGAATAAATGATGGGTGTTGAAATATATATCCTGATCTTTATTATGTGGATAACATTCACGGCTAGATTAAAACATTATCATTGAATATGTAGACATATTAGGTCCATGTGATAATCTAGCCTATTTATATTTCACTGATGATATAAGCTTATGTCATATGTAGTGGTGAATACCTTTTCCTATAGTAAACATATCTATTTGAAATATGCTAAAAAAAAAATCCTGCCAGCTTTATTATAGATTGTTCTCTAGGTTACGGCATGAGTTCATACTTTCACTCCTAAATATAACATTATATATCAAATCTAATCTGATTATGACCTCATTTGTTATTTACAGATATCATTTTTGTAAATAACTTTTTAAAATATTTGGCGAGGGAGAGTAGAAAACACAAAGGAAGTAAAAGAAACATGTAGAGAGAGCAGAAGAAAATTCATATCAAAAACTATAGCAAAAATAGAAAAAAATGAGTAATTGCAAATGACGATAAAAAATAAAAGAGGTAAGAAGTGAGGAGACTGTTTTAATTTTGTCCAAGCATCACATTATGAATAAAATAACAAATTCCAAGGACATCTTGGTCCTCCAAGAAATATAATTTTCATCTTCAAGCATTTAAATTCATGGCATGGGAACATGATGGGCGTGCATGCACATCATCCCACAGATGTGTTAGGCAAAATTCAATCTAGATTTATTCCTGCCATTCTTTTCTTTTTAAGTGTCATGCTTATACTTAGTACAGTTGTTTGTTAATAATCTGTCGCTGATTTGAATAATTTGTTTACCTACACATAAAAATATTATCCCAACTTGGATCATTTTAAATTCAACTACCATTTTGCCAATGCTAACCTTGTTGCTATTGATATATGCACAAGTCAAAAATTGGTCTGTTTAACTTGCATGCATGCACACACACATAGCTAGGAAAGATGCTAATATTAATCTTTTAAGACATTAGCAGAAATGTTTATTGCAAGTATGACCCAAAGGACCTGAAGAATCAAAATTTCTTAACATCAAAGCATCAGTAAATTAGCTGATTTTTAGTTTATTTTCAAAAGAAAATTTACCTAATTGACCTATTTTTTTGGGTTCAAGTTGTACTTCTGAAAACAGCATTGTTCTTCTAAGATATTTAAATATCAACAGTATTCTATAAAAGCAAATCTGTTTTCAGTATACACTGCAATTCTTTCAAGTTGCTTATCTTTGTTCCTTTTCTTTTTCCTAAGAGCCTACTTTGAATTAATGTAGAAACATCAAGAACTACAAGTACTTAGGGGCACAACTTTTTGAAAAGCTTCTCCAAAGCAGAATTGGAAAAGATCATTATTTTAGAAGATCATCTACAATTCACTACCACAAATATCAAGATTTGAATCACTTCAACTGAGATGTATATGAGCCAGTGCACTCACTCACAGAGGATTTTGTGCTTATTGTTTATTAGTTTATTACTTATTTGTCTATGGACTGTCACTTTTGCTTTCTAAGAAAATGAAGTCTAATTAAATGCAAATACTGCCTTGTCTTGAAATTTGGCAAGCTGGCATTTTTGCCACCATTGTGATAGCCTAACACCTCCAAATCTAAAAGTTATATTTTCTCACCCAGTCTTCACAACAACTTGATGAGGCCTTTATTATTATTTTTTTTAATCAATGAGTACTGAAGTAACTTACAGTCTCTTAGGAAAGAAAAAAATCTTTGTCCAGAAAAACATTCAGAAGCATTTGTTACAAGAAATTTCTTCACTCCCTGTAAGTCAAATATAGGAGATAGAAGGTCATAACTAACTTCTATGTCTCCTTAACCCTAATGTTATTTACACCTTTGCAAAGGAAACATGACAAGGTCCCAAACTACTTACCATTTGACAAAAGGGTTCATTTTGGGTCTCCTTATTGCTATATCACATTCTTCATATTTATGAATCAGACACAATGTTATTGTGGTCTTACCTGTCAGTTTTACAATCAGGTGAAGTCCAAGAATTGTCCCCCTCTAATTTAAAATCTATGGCCTTTAAAAATGGCTGGTGGAGGGTAGAGGGTCTATAACTATTGGAGCAGAGCTTCCAAGGATTATTGTTTCTCTGAGAGTCAGTTATAAGTTTCATAAAGTAAATTTATATTCATATGGCAATATTTTTATAAGCTCACAAGCAGGCATCCAGCCATTTGTGAGTTTTATGCACCCAGGGAGAAGTGGCTTAATATAATTACTAATAATATTCTTGAGCAACTCTATTTCTAGCATCTTGATAAAATGACATTAATTACAAGGGAAAATTATTCCATGTTTTGTGGAACTGTTGGCTCTATATAAAATGTATTCTTAATAGTTTTTCTTCACTTCTAAAACTGAAACTCCTTTCTGCATCTATAATACATGTGTTTATTTATCATCTCTCTTCTCCACAATTATATCAATTTGAACACATAATAATTTTTATCATCTATTCGCTATTCTTTTTGAAGAATTTTATGTTAAAATAAAGGTTGTTTATTTAAGATACTGGGAGAGTCATTCATGATCCAAATCACACACCATGTCAACATGTCTGTTTGCTTAGCACATATTTAGACTCATCAGCAAAGGGGAAGAAATTTGAAATTTGCTACACTTTGGAAAAAAATATTTAGCAGAACACTTTAAACAGTTTTATTAATCGACTTCCAAAATGTTTAAGCTTTCATATATTATACTATGGAGAACCATCATAAAATATAGCAGTGGGCCTAAGGATGTAGCTTAGTAGTTGAGCACTTGCCTACTGTGCCTGAGACTGGGCATGCCAACCATCATACCACACACACATACACAAACAAACACATATGCACACACACACACACACACACACACACACACACACACACAGCAGAAGAGTAAAATGTGTGAAGATGAGACACTAATTAGAAGGTATTGTTCTGATAGTTTAAATTTGACTTTTAGGTCCCTTCCTAATGAGCAAGGTTAAAAGGATACCAAACATGGCATTAGTAACAGACAAAACCAACAGCAGATTAAATCAACATTACAGGAAGCATTGTCTCAGAGGAAGTTCCTTATATAAATCCTTTCCCCATCCCCCATAAAAAAGACCAATAATCAAAGCAGAGCCACTTATACTAATGTCCCACCAAGCTAAAACCAGACTGCTTATCAGACCACCAGAAAAATCAGGCCACTTCCAATTGTCATTAAGTTGTCAGAAGTTCCTAATGCCTTAAATCCTCTCACAAAAGAGGTAATCTGTCATAAGGGGATGCTGGCCAGTCAACTTCTTGTCTAGACTGCAGAGGAAAATAATTTTGTAATTAACAACCCATTTCCTTTTTCTGCTTCTGATTACTTCAGCTGATTTTTCCCTTAGAAACCCAGTCTTCAGTTTAACTCATTTTAAAGTGTTCATTCAAAAAACAAGTTTAAGAGTAAAATGTAAGATTAAAATTTAAGATTAAAGATTAATGCTTCAATTAAAAAATAAACTAGCCAGGTGCCACCTGTGGCTCAAGCCACTAATCCTAGCTACTCAGGAGGCTGAGATCTGAGGATAGAGGTTCAAGCCAGCTGGGGCAGGAAAGTCCCTGAGACTCTTATCTCCATTTAACCACCAGAAAACTGGAAGTGGTGCTGTGGCTCAAGTGGTAGAGTGCTAGACTTGAGCTGAAGAGCTCAGGGACAGCGCCCAGACCCAGAATTCAAAACCTATGGCCAACAACAACAACAAAAAAAGTAAACTCAAGATCTTATTTGTTGTGATTTTGTAGATATATAGACGCATGTCCATGTACACAGACACACAGACACAGACAGACAGACAGACAGACAGACAGACACACACACACACACACACACACACACCTTCAAAATAAATCTGTCCTGGATATGCTTAAAAGAACATCAAGCTTTTAATATCAGAAATCTGGAGGCTAATATAAGGGCAGCCTGGGCTACTTGGTAAAACCCTGTCTGAAGATGAGCAAACAGGCAAACTATGCAAATAACTCACTTGCTAATTTTCTTATTAGATTAAGTGGTTAAGTTTTATTAAAAGAATTGAACTTAAACCATCTTTTTAGCCAATACAATTTTAGAAATAAAGAATGAGATATTTATTTAAAATTTTAAAATCAAACTTCTAAATTACAGCTTAAAATATGTTTGGAGACACAGTCAATTTGTATTCTTTAGGTCGACAAAATATAGTATAAAACTTACAGTATCTATTAACATAAACTTAAATATAGTTTAAATTAGTGAGTATACATTAGTTTAAAAGAACACAAAATGCTCTCTATGATGGCACATGTTTTTTTTTATTTTTTTTTTGTGAACATACTGTACAGAGGGGTTACAATTACATGGGCAAGATAATGAGTACATTTCTTATCAAGCATTGCAGCCTCCTCCTTTAATGATGGCACATGTTTGTGATCACAGCTCTCTGGAGTCAAAGGTAATATACCAAAACAATTCTTTTTCACAGGAGAGGCTGGGGTGCAAGTCAATGATAGAGCATTTTTCAAGAATGAACTAGGGACTCAGTTGCATTGGCAGTACTACAACAATAACTAAATGTAAGAGAAAGGTATATTTAACCCTTTACTGTCATGGGTTAAAATAGAAGATTTGGATACTATTCAAAAAGATATTACTCAATAAGATTTTGGCTTTAATGGACAATTCTTTGGGAAAATAATTCATCTCATACTTACCTACAATGTCCTTCATAAGGCCCACAATACATTCATCCCCTGTAATCCACGGTCGTTTGCCTGTATCATGACCATAGGCACCTCTGAAATTAAAACGGGACATAAAAATTTTTAGTTGACTGTATGTGTGTATATTTACATGTGATTTTTCCCAACACCCTCTTTCTTTATTAAGTAGGCATTTGTATAGGAATTATTATAATATTTAAATAATTATGTAATACATATTAAAAATAAAAAGGATATATTTGGGGGCTTTATTTTTTAGCTTATCTTTTTAAAACTAATTTGGGTTTCATTTTGTTGAGGAAGGGGTGTTATATGTATACTATTTTATTAGGTTGTCTTATTTTTGGAGCCTCGGATTTTTCCCTTTATTTTGATATTTACTATGTTATTTGAATATTTAAATACTTCTAGCATATAGTATTATGTATATTGATATATACAGAGTATATTTTCTAATTTAGCTAGAAACCAAAGTGAGCACCACTTGAAAAATAAAATATAGTTACGACCTGCAAATTAAATGGACATGTACAAAATGTAGCTATATTTGTGATAATGTTTAGATTAACCATAAAACTTAGGGTAAATCCAACAAACAGGCATGAATTAATACATTTATATCTAATTTACATTTTGTGCAGGGTCCCAAAAAATGTAGTTTACTTAAGTTAGTAATACCTGTCTCTTGTTTTCTAGAAAAGTATAGAACTATAGTATCCAGAAAATCTGACCTATCTTAGCAGTATGCCTGATCAACGCTCTGGTGTAATTAGACAAAGCCCCTAGATTTAACACAACAATCAAAACCAATACTACACTTTGACTTCATTTTCTAACAATTCATCTGTCATATTCCAACTAGATTTTTACTATGCTAGCAAATATCCCAGTACATCTAATAAAACTCCACATACACAAGAGAATCTCAGTCTCAAGAAATTTCTGTGTTATGAGGGAAACAAATACACTTAAAACTATAAAAAAAAATAACAGAATAATAGAAAGTACCTGGAATAATATTATGTACTTATGCCTTTAAAAAATATATATACATTAGGGGCTGGGAAGGTGGCTCAGTGGTAGAGTGCTTAGCTTGCATGCCTGAGGCCCTGGGTTCGATTCCTCAGCATCACATAAGCAAAAAACAAAAAAGCCAGAAGTGGCGCTGTGGCTCAAGTGGTAGAGTGCTAGCCTTGAGCTGAAGAGCTGAGGGACGGCGCCCAGGCCCAGAGTTCAGGCCCCACGACCGGACACTCCCCCCCCCCCCCCCCAAAAATCTATACATTAGATTTTGTAGACTTGCAAAGAAAGGAGTGAGCATGTGCCTGTTGTGTAATTCAAATCTGGGTTTGAATCCACAGGTAATAAGTCAATAAGCTGGGGGGGGGGGGGGGGGAGGGAGGGGAGGTGGGAGGACAGGGATGGGAAGGGGAAACAAAGAAGGAGGAAACAATGATAAGAAATGTACTCATTACCTTGCTCATGTAATTGTAACCCCTCTGTGCAGTATTTTCACAATTAAAAAAAAGCTTATTAAAAACAAGTCAATAAGCTGGCCTTGGTGATTCTGGATCCCTAATCTCAAAAGGGTGGTTCAATTGTTCAAAGCCTTAATAATCTTTAGCCTTTGCTGACATCATGATTTGCACACGTTTATCACAGCACAATCTCTTCTATGAACAAAATTCTTAGTATGTAACAATTGTCTTTCATAATCTACTATAAGTCAACTCCAGATCTTTATTAATGTGAGACATTTATTAGAAGATTTTATAGGACCTAGTCTTCTATATTAATATAAGTAGATTCATGACAATATGTAGCTTAAAAGGTTGCCATGAAAAAGAAATGAGGTCACTTAAAAAAGAGTTGCATAGTACCTATGCTGAGTGAATTTTGCAAATGTAAATCTCATGTTAAATTCCTGTCCTTCAGCATGTGGAATATAACGTGATTTTTAAACTAACATTTCCATTACTACATAAATAAAGACCAAGAAAGAGGACTTTCTTTGAGAATAAACAGACTAAGAGCTAAAGAAGGGATAACGAGGCAATTGCTAGTTGTTATTATTATTCATACTATTATTAGAATAGCTTGCAGCTTGCCTCTTTCTTGACTTCCAATATAAATGCTAAAGACAAAAATCATTATCAATAAATGGTAGTTAAAGGCAGATACTTGGATCCTTTTTTATTTAATCACATAGAACTCCATGGCCTTTGCTGATAGCACAATACATCTTATTACACTGAGGTAGTAAAATTCTATGTTCTGCCTCAGAGAATTTATAACTCAGAATATTATGCCACCTACTTCTCACTCTGGCAGACACCATAGTAATAATCTTTAAGGATTCGTTTCTTCTTGTAATGTGTTTGGCATTTCCTTCCCTTTAAAATATCACACACCAAGTCGGCTTCCTCATTCTGTCAGCCTACTAGCCTGGAGTAGTGAAATGTATTTAGAAAGTGTTATCCAAATAAACCCAAAGTAAAGTGGCCTATCATTAGAGAAAGTAGATGTAGAGTAAGTACATGTTTAAACATATGTATTAGAGTTAGGAAAAATGTTTTATTGTTTTCATTCAAAACTGCTGAAATAGCTACAAATGTTGGAAAGGAAAAGAGAGCATGAGAGCTCATTAGCACAGCATCAATCCTTGGTATGAGTAGGGTATTTTCTGAGATGTCTCTGAGCAATACTTGCTCATGAAGTTAGATTGCAGAATATAAAAATCTAATGAGGAAGTTAATAGAAACTTGTATCCTCTTTAAAATAGGGCCATGTTTTAACTATCCTACAAAAATGAAAAACAGCTCTACTTTTAGGAAGCTTCCTTCATAAGTAAATACATAAACTTTCACATTTGTCCCTAATGATATTGCATTTTTTCCCACTACTCAATTGATGACTAGCTAACAAAGATGTTGACTAATCTTTCTTGCACCCTATGCTATGTGTTTTTTTTAATCATGGACTCAACTAAATGAGACTATACAAGAGTGTTGAGCAGAAATTTCTGGCATACTTCATCATTGCTATTGCACATACATTACCATAAAAAGTAAGTCATTGTCTACCAACCAGCTGATTTACCCTTGACACATAATTCAGTGGGCCACTTTTCTCTTGAAATAACCTTATCAATTTATCACTCTTCTTTTGCTTTGGCCATACTGGTGTTTTAAACAATTCCTGGCCTCATACTTCCTAGGCAGAAATTCTACCACTTGAGCCTTTATGTCCTCCATGTCTGAGTTGGTTTTTGTTTGTTTGTTTGTTTTTTGAGAAAGAATCTCATTATGCTCTCTATTGTCAGTCAGATTACAGACCTTCTCATTATTTGAGAGCAATCTTCATGCTGAGGTCTGTTAGACGGTAATTGTTATATTCTTCCCCGATCATGGAATGACAGGCCCAAGGCACCCATCCATGTCCATTGTTGGAGATGATGTCTTGCAAATGTTTTGTCCTGTGTGAACCTCAAATTTTAATTCTTCAATCCTTGGCTCCCTAATTGCTATGACTATGGGCTTGAGACACAATCCCTGGCTCTGTCATTCTTCTTAAAATAATCTCTAGAAAGTCATAACTGTAATAGGCATTGCCCTTAAGAAAAAGAAAAAAATATTTATATAGAAAATTTGACAATGCATATGACTTAAAACTTTTCACAAAAGCAAATATCTTGGTTAAAGTGAACTGTTATTTCCCCAATGAAAAAACAACTATGAAAAACAATAATAAATATATTAAAATAACCACAACAAATATATTATGTGGGCCCACAACTACTTCTATAATTTTTCCTCAAATAATAGAAGATTCAAGAAAATTTGTGTCATATTTATATAAAGCACCTTGAATGAACAATCTTGATATCTACATCCCTGAGCGGTTTCTTGCTTTGTAAAAGTATAGTAGCTTTTTTAATGTTAAGATGATAAGTTTTAAAAGTATCTTTTCTAATTAGGCAACTATGTTTAATGTACATTAGACTATGTAATAAATACCTAGACTTCTTGGGCTCATGATATTCCATTGGTCAAGAAGGAAAGGAAATGACCTGTCTTAAATTTCAACTCAAGAATAGGACAGTTGGAAATGAAGAATATGTGATCAGTTAAAACATGCTACAATCATGAGAGTCCTGGTTCTAGAGGAAATTGGAACATATACAGGGTAGATTTTTGAACAAAAATCAAAGCAATAGAGGGGACAGATTGCCCATCAAAAGGCTATGAAGATAATTCTAAACTGAAAATATCTGGACAGGAAGAGTTGCTAAACTTGAACCAAGGCTTCCTAATAATAGAAATACTTTTGCATACTGAGGGACAAATATAGCTGACCTAATCTTCCTGGGGAACCTCCTAGCTAGCAGAGTATTGCCTATTAAGTATGAGAAAGCCCAATAAGCCTTCTGTGTTTCATCCATTTAAGACCTACAACTGTGTTTTTAGTTAAACTGGCACCTAAACTCTTATCTCTGACTATTTTAGGAGTTAGTGCTTTTTGAGTGTTCCTATCTGCTTATGAAATCATTTTCTCCCATAAATCTCTCTGTGGTTAATCAAACTGCAGTCCTTCTCATTTTTTTGTTGTTGTTGAGAGGGGAAAGTTTTCTTCTCACAAGATCCTGAGCTGGAAAAAGACAGAAGTAGAAGTTTAAAATTAAAATTTTGGGGAAAAAATTAATAATAGAAGTATGTTTTTGCTGGGTGCCAGTGCCTCACGTCTGTAATCCTAGCTACTCAGGAGGCTGAGATCTGAGGATCACGGTTGAAAGCCAGCCCAGGCAGGAAAGTCCATGAGACTCTTATCTCCAATAAACCACTAGAAACCCGGAAGGGGTGCTGTGGCTCAAATGGTAGAGCGCTCACCTTGAGCTGAAGAGTGCAGGGACAGCGCCCAAGCCCAGAGTTCAAGCCCTATAACCGAACCCCCCCCCAAAAAAAAGTATGTTCTAGATCAAATTTGGGGATGAGATAGGTGAAAAAAATATATAATTAGATATCTCAGTCATCCCTGAGATTCAGGAACACATAGGGCCATGATGTTAACTGGGCTTTGATATCTTAAAGCTAGAAATTAAAGTGAAATAAGCAAAGCCAGAATGGGGTGGATGGCTTCTGCTTGGAAGAAGTCTTTAATTTAACTTATGCTAGCTGCGGCATTGAAATGCAACTCCATCTGAAATCATTTGTCTAATGTAAACTAAGAAGATTTAACCAAAACTAAGCAATAGTCTATCTTTACTAGAAAGCAAGACAGCAACAAGCAACAACAGAAGATATTATACCAGAGAGTGTTTTTCATGAAATACAATTCTAATGTCATGAAAATAACTAATGCTCTCCTCAATAACACAGCATAATGATAATGATATGAATAGAATAGCAGAACAGCAACTTTTGAAAATGTCTAGAGTCCAAAAATGCACAGCCTTGCTGGATGTAAGAGGGAAGGACAATCTCTAAAGTTCAAATGCATTCTATCTAATTCTTTGCTGTCTCTTACATTAAGGCCCAAAATGAGTATCAACTGTTTTTTTTTTTATTAACTATCGTCTTCATTTATTAAATACTAAAGCAGCTTGCACATAATTCTTCCAAATGTAGGAGTATGTATTTTTCCAATCATGCATAAAAGTTATGTAGGCAGTGTCAGATCAGGCTTACTAAATTATATAAACTTTGGTCATTTGTTTATTAATTGCTGACTTAACCACAAAAATTAAGAACTTTGCAGTATTATTTAAGTCATGACAGTGAGTTCTATAGTACTTAAAATTGGTGTAAACTAAAATTTGAAGGAAAGGCTCTGTTTCAATTATGAAAGACCAGTAGCATAAAGAACAAAGAAAACATAAGAAAATACTGAATTTCTGAAACAGTGAATTATCTTACCTCTAAAACATAACTAACTAGTTTGGGTTTATCTTCCTGAAGTTTCGTTTCTTGACCTTAAGGTATAGTTCACTTCTGCACTGACTTTTTAATCAAATAGGAATTATTAAAAATTTTTCTATTCAGGTATCGATGGCACATGCTTGTAATCCTAGCTACTCAAGGTTCATGGTCGGAAGCCAGCCCAGGGAAGAAAAGTGCCCATGAGACTCTTGTCTCCAATTAACCACTCAAAAACAGAAAGTGGCGCTGTGGCTGAAGTAGTTGAGTGCTATCCTTAAGTACAAAGAGGTTCAGGGACAACAGCCAGGTGCTGGGTTCAAGTCTCAAAATCTTTCTAAGCATTTAAAATATCTAAACATACTTAAGTACTTACAGTTTAGAAATAAAATTTAAAAATCAAATATTTAACAAGTGTTTCTGTTTTTAACTTTATCAGTAGTTATTGGGAAAAGATAAAATACATGAAACAAGGTTACTTTCCTTTAAGGTCCTATAATATAGCTAAGAATGTAAAATTAACTTAAAAAAATAGGTATCTTCAACTTTGGAAGACATTGTATGAGGTCAAACAAAGAGTACCCAAACAGAGGTCTAGTGTTCCATAAAATTGAAGAGCTAATAGTTCAAAATAAGGTCTTATACATTTTATAGGTAACTATAAGAAAAGAACTTCAATGTCTTCAAAAACAAAATAACAATTACGTATATTATATATATATATATATGCAGGCATGATGCTATATCACATAAATTTGTACAGTATTGTGTTCATAAAACTTTAATTATTTGAGAAGATAAAACTGTTTACTAAGTAGAGATATCTAGAGGAGATAATCAATGCAACTAAGAATATCAGATTTACAGTGTTCAAGAAGTAAGACAGTAGGAAGAATTTCATAGTCAAAATAGTAGCATAGAAAAGATGGAAGGGAAATAGTTCTGATACAAGGATCCCTCATGGTTAAATCAAGCCTGCCTTGATTTAAGGTCACATGGACCATCTTTTTCATCTGAGAGAGCTAAGTAATATTTGTGTCACTCATGTCAACCAACCTATAGTTTCCTTGATAATTTGGTTTCTTTCTTTATATAAAAATAATAGCAGTTTAGCTAAGGGCTACTCGTTGAAAAATTAAACATCCTATATATTAACCCTTTTACAGTAATGAAATAATATAAATAATAAGTATAATAATATGCATTTCCAAATACAAGAAATAACAAATAATATACATTTCTAAATACCAGAAAACCTATTGAAATTTTAAATTTTTTCATATGAGATATCAAATAGTACCTTTACAGCTCACACTTTCATTATGGCCCAAAGCTAATACTTACATTTTGGCCCATTTATCAAGTTCCTCTTCCACATATGTCTTAACCAGTTTTGGTTGAAGGCCAAGAGAATTCCCCACAAAATAGATGGCATTTTCATCCTTATTCACTAAAGATAAGTCAACTAAAACAAGAAAACATAAAAGAGGCTTATTATATTAATCAACACTCATGCACTTGGCATTGTTAATCCAGTACAAACAATTAATATAATTAACTCTAAATAGGATAATAACTTACAATTACTCCCATAGAAAGCAGCAGATATTCGGAAAAATAATTAACCTCTTGCATTTGTATAAGAAAACATAGCATACCTATAAAGGTAATTACAGAGATTGCTCATATTTACTGTGCTATACAAGAAAACATAAATTTGCAGTAATGTAAATAGACAAAGGCAATGAGGAGTTAAAATGTTTTTTGAGGAAATAAGAGCAGCCTGACTGTATTAAGTTACCAGAATTTACATTTACTATACCTCTTTTTCATTGTTTAAACATGACTCAGTTAAAGAATGTTTACCACTATTGATACATTTCAACTGAAACTGGTTTGGGAAGGTGGTTGGAAAAATTTGGAGAAATTAAATAAAACAAAACCCACCATAGTGGAATATGACTGTAATTCCAGCATTACAGAGGCAGAGACAGAAGGACTGTGAATTTGTGGCTGTGCTGAGCCTACATAGCAAGTTGAAGACTAGACCGGATTATATAACAGCAATTTGTTTCAAGGAGAATAAAAAAAGTAAGCAAGCAAACAAATAAACAAAAAAGGAAAACAAATCTTTGGAAGCCTTTTAAAAATTAATTAATTTTATCATCTTTAAGTAGTTATATGCAGGAGTTATCATTCAACAAATCAGTTTATGAATTCAATGCATCTTGATCAACGTTAGAACATAAGAGAATGCCAATACTTGTCCATGAAGTTTCTGACTGGCATGAGCATACTATTGGATATTTGACTAAAATCCATAAATATTACATTTTTACCAGTAACTTATATACAGTTTTTCTTAGTTGAGATTTTCAGGAGGTTTATTTAAAGGAAGCTTGTGTAAACTTGAAGCCAATGAAAATGTTGCTGCTAAAGAGATTATCACCATTATGGAAAAGTCAAGTACTGGGACGATAGTAAAGATGACTTTCAGATACCTCAAGAATCAGCCAGATGCCACTCTCACATGGTAAAGGTGTAAAAATGAATTACTTAAAAGCCTTTGAAAGGCTTTCCTTTGATGAGAAAATGTCACCAGACTTGGCCCCCTGGACAAGTATTTCCCAGGATTCAGCTTCACTCACACTCAGAGATCTCTGAAACCATTATACAAGGGGACTAAGACTTAGCATTATTCATCTGAATGTGGTCGTCTTACACGTAGGCTTGCAAAATGCAACAGTCGAAAGATCAGGAGACATTTCCCCCCAGCTTTCAGGGGAAAGCCTAAGAGGCCAAGCAATGTGTCAAAGTCAGAGTCCCTGCCGGGTGGAGAGGGGGGCGAACCTGGGAGAGAACCCTGAGATGGTGAGGTTGAGGCTCTGAGATGCAGTGGAGAACTCAAGTGTATGAAATGACAGGCACATAAAAAATACAGCAAGCAAAACTCTACAGAGTGAGGAAGAATGGGTTTAAGGCAGGGATTACAGTTAGAAAAATCATTGAGAGTAAGGTTTCCCAAAAGCTTAGGATATCATAAGCTGCACCATATTATTTGAATGAGAAACATGGAGCTACAGGATTGAATGTTTGCCCTGCTAGATTTTGATTTTCCTCTTGATTTTGATTTTTTTACTCTTGAAGACTTTATTCTCTCAAAAGGATGCGAGGGCAATTTCTATCATTGATTTATAGGTCTATCTCTACATATGCCCTTCCCTTGTTTTTTTCCTATGTATATCTCCAATTGTCCTCTTTTTATAAGAATACTATGTCGTATTGGATTATACTAATCTCATTTTAATTCAGTTATTGTTAAGACTTTATTCAAATAAGGTCACATTTTAAGGGAGGAAAGTTTAAGACTTCTTCATAGGAAAGTTTAAGGACTTGATTCATCCCCTAATACTCTACAAAGGTTCACTGAACTTTGATTGTGTTTAAGCTCAAAAACTTCAAGTTTCTTTAAACAGATTTCACCAAACTATGATTTAAACAAATAGCTTTGGAGTTATTTTGTAAGTTTCCTTTCTTGGCAAAGTCTATGATATGATTGATTTTGAGTTTATGGTTTGGGAAATTCATTTGATTTCTTCTGAGTAGTATTCTAATAAAAATGTCTATCAAACTGGACCTTAATTATTTACTGACCTACTCTTTCAGTTTATTATCTCTTGGTTAACAAAACTACAGGAACTTAGTTTAAAGGTATTATTTGGTTTTATTTCTTTATTTTAGAGTAAAACAACATTTCATTTCATAAACATAGGACGGGTGGAATGGACTGAGGCAAAAATTGTCTTTGGGTAGGAGAATTGTGAGTTGAAGCCAATCTGGGCTGTTCAGTATAGTGAGAAGTCCTTCAAGCAAAGAAAACAAAACTAAATATAATAAAAGAAAACAAAAATATACTGGTTTTTGTAGGCACAGAAAAACTGAAGACAGAAACAGAACAAGAAGGTGATAGGTAATTTCAAAATAACTTTTTTTCTTTGGTGGGACTTTTTTTTATTGTGAAAATACTGTACAGAGGGGTTACAATTACATGGGCAAGATTGTGAGTACATTTCTTATCAAGCATTGTAGCCTCCTCCTTTGTTTACCCTTCCCCTCCCTTCCCAGCCTCCCCTGCCTCCCCACCCAATCCTCCCCACATGACAACTTGTACTTCTCATTGTTGCAATGGGTCCACCTGTATCCCTATTTAAAGGATTTGTTTTCCCCCTTCCCCTCCACAAATTATACTGACATCAAATACAGTGAAAGCAGGGGTTATACTGTGCAAAATAACTTTCTTTCTAAAGTAGGAATAAAACAAAATGGAAAACAATTGATTGGTTAGCAATAGATTGCTTCAGGTTATATTTGTTTCCTAAGGATTAAAGTGTTAAGAGGTATAAAGATTAAAGGCAGATGATTCATCATTATAGTTTGATTGAAATTGCCTTGTTTGAGAAATTCGACTGTTACCTCTCATTTCTCCTGTTTACTTGTAATTTCAGATAAACTGTTTGCTTTTAGCTTGGTGACAGCAAACATTAGAAGGGGTATCTAGAAGGGATATCTAGAGTCCTAGTCTGGTCTGATGGAACTCAGGATGGCACTTTGTCCAAAGCAATAACTTCCTATAATTTTTATTTTAAAATCTCAAGTTTAACCAGAGAATCTCTTCAAAATACTACAGAGAAAGGCACATACTATATATTGTCTTTCATATGTAGAAGTATTTAAAAAATTAATCTGTGCATATCATAGTAATAATGAGAGGCTGAAAAGTATAAAGGGAAGGGTTTTGGAATGAAGCTGATTATTAAAGAAACAGACATAGGTATAAGGAATGTATATATACTGATATCCTACTGCACAAAGAAATACTTATCATTCACTTTATTCAACTTTGTATTTTGTGAGCCACAGCTCAACTTCTCGCTCTTTTATTAGTCAATTGGAAAGAGTCTCATAGACTTTTCTCCCCCAGCCAGGCTTCTAGCCATGTCCTCAGATTTCAGCCTTCTGAGTAGCTAGGATTTCAGGCATGAGCCACTGGTGCATTTACAATTAAGCATACTATCACTGCTACTACTACTACTACTACTACTATTACTACTACTACTATTACTACTAATATAAATTTAAAAGACATCATTTAAACTTCAGTTTGGGCTTGATCAAATGTGACACCCACAAAAAGAAAAAAAAAAGAAACAACATGGTAAAAAATGCTGAAGTTGGAGCAGATTTGTGTGCATTGCAATTTGTTTTGGTCTTTATACCGATTGGTTGTAATTTCTTTAGTGAAGTGGGAAAAGACAAAGAATTATTAATCTGGTTTTGGAATGTTTTTATGTTTATATTTTTGCTTTTTAAATAGCTTCTTCCCTCTGAAAGTAAGATTGGCTTTTTGTTGTGGTTGTTTGTTTGTTTCTCCTTTAGAAAGAAGAGATCTTGAGTTCCCTGAAGAAATTACTCCAGAATCCATCTGACATCCCATGGTACCAACTGAGGCCACCATTGCCATTTTTGCAGTGCATTTCCAGACTTTCTGGTGAAGTTAGCCCATATTCTAAGAGTGTAGCTTGGTGTGGTCCTTCTGAGTGACTTAAGTTCTGCTACTGTTCTTTGGGGTCACTTAACTTTGAAAACTTTGACATACTAATAAAATTGTTTCAGACCTTTATATATGATTAGAAAACATTTTATTAGTATCATTAAATTTGATTAAACATGTTCCTTAGTGGAAAAATGTACCAGTACTAGGGATTTTATGTTTAAAAGAGAGAAAGTGCGATTTATTTTAAAATACTATCCAATTGGAAGCTTGGGATAAGTCTAACAAAATTAGATTCAAAGGTTCTAATTTAAATTGGTCTGGTATGAAGATTGAGAATAAACATTTTAAAGTCACTTCATAATTTGCAAATGATTTTAGGGGGTCTTACACTTAAAACCCTCATTTAAAACCACAGTACAAAACAAGTGACAATTACTGTTTAATGAAAGTATGCAAGGTCACAGAGAGTAACTTACCTTTAAATTAATAAAGCTTCTAGCTATTATAATTTAAGACTTAATTAAGTCTATTTTAAATATTTTAAAATTCAGTAACAAACACATGTGAAATTATTTTTAAGCTAAGTTTGTCAACTCCGTTCACATGATGAAACACCTAAAATTATATTGTTCAGCATATTATAATAAGCCAAACAAACTATTTTAAGATAGAGGTGAAATATCCAACCCAGTTTGTTGCCTCATGAACTAAAATAATACAAATCTCTGTACATATCTAACTCTGAAACAGAAGCCCATGTACACATGCACACACATATCCATTTCATGAATTCATATTGAAAAATCAAATTAAGTTTATAGAAGAAATAGAAAGTAGCTCTTTATTTTTTAACGTCTTGCAAATTAAAGAATAGATTTAGAAATAACTATTTGATTTTACAGAAAAGATAA